GAGAAGCTTCTTTGAATGACCAGTGATTAATAATGGCTATGAAAAAAAACATCCCATTAAGCAAAAGATTTGCTTTGATAAGCAACATGAATAATTTGGTATGTATGCACTGTACGTATTTTTGCAAAGCACTCCGTAGCACTGTTTTGGATCATAATGTGAATGTGCATATTTGTAATTCATTCATCCCATCTTCTAGGCCTTGGTGGCTAGAGCAAAGAAAGCTTTTAAACATTCCTTTAAATTAACTCGATAAGAGTGTTAATAGTTGAAAGACCCATCTTCTGCCGTTCAGGCACCTTTCTCTTGATAAAAACAGGCAATTTACAATATTTATTCTACAAAATTCATCTTTCTGGGTTTTTTGTTGTTGTTGTTAAAGAAGGATTAATCCGTTTGTTCATTTGATGTAAAACCATATATGGGCATTATTTTCATGTATTAAACTTACTTCAAGAGCCATTTAATAAACTGTAGCCAAACTCCGTTAGCAGATAAGCTCCTCTCTCTGCTTTCATCAGTTAAACAAGGTTGGATCTGATTAGTATTTGGCTAATGGACACGAAGGGGGGGTAAGGGTGGGGAATCAGACAGTTTATGAAGTGGGTGATGATTTTGATTAATTAGAACAGGGGTAGGCAACCTATGACATGCATGCCGAAGGCGGCACACGAGCTGATTTTCAGTGGCACTCATGCTGCCCAGGTCCTGGCCACTGGTCTGGGAGGCTCTGCATTTTAATTTAATTTTAAATGAAGCTTCTTAAACATTTTAAAAATCTTATTTACTTTACATACAACAATAGTTTAGTTATACATTATAGACTTATAGAAAGAGACCTTCTAAAAAGGTTTAAATGTATTACTGGCATGCGAAACCTTAAATTAGAGTGAAAGGTTGCTAACCCCTGCTTTAAACTAAGCTCCTGAGTACTTGAACTAATATTATAATAGTCTATGGCCTGGCAAAATTCTAATTTGATAAACTACATGGAAAATATAAAGTGGCAGAATATAATTTCATTTGGAGAAAGTATTCACTCCCTCTCTCAAACTATTGTATTGTGTTGCTGTGTATTATTAAGCTGGTGCAAGTTCCACCCCAGAAGTGGCTGCATTTTGGTAATGGTGAAGATACTTCCCAATTAAAGGTACTATTTAGGTGACAAATCTGAGGAACTGTCACAGATTAAGGAGCACTCAAGGACGATAAGGCCAGAGTGGAGAAACTAATTTAATTATTCGCATTGGTCTTCATGGTTGAGGATGTGAGGGAGATTCCCAAACCTGAGCCATTCTTTTTAGAGACTGTCCCAGATTGAAGTATCATTAGAGGAGGTTTTGGAACATACTGATAAACTAAATAGTAACAATTCACCAAGACCAGATGATATTCACGCAAGAGTTCTGAAGGAACTCAAATGTGAAAATGCAAAACTACTAACTGTAGTCTGTAATCTATCATTTAAATCAGCTTCTGTACCAAATGACTGGAGGATAGCTAATGTGACACCAATTTTTAAAAAGGGCTCCAGAGGGGATCCCGGCAATTACAGGCCGGTAAGCCTGACTTCAGTACCAGGCAAACTGGTTGAAACTAGTAAAGAACAAAAATGTCAGAAACATAGATTAACATAGTTTGTTGGTGAAGAGTCAACATGGTTTTTGTAAAGAGAAATTATGCCTCATCAGTCTACTGGAATTCTTTGAGGGGGTCAACAAGCATGTGGACAAGGGGGATTCAGTGGATATAGTGTACTTAGATTTTCAGAAAGCCTTTGACGAAGTCCCTCACCAAAGACTCTTAAACAAAGTAAGCTGCCATGAAATAAGAGGGAAGGTCCTCTCATGGATTGGTAACTGGTTAAAAGATAGGAAACAAAGGGTAGAAATAAATGGTCAGTTTTCAGAATGGAGAGAGGTAAATAGTGGTGTCCTCCAGGGGTCTGTACTGGGACCAGTCCTATTCAACATATTCATAAATAATCTGGAAAAAAGGGGGTAAACAGTGAGGTGGCAAAACTTGCAGGTGATACAAAACTACTCAAGATAAGTCCTAGGCAGACTGTGAAGAGCTACAAAAGGATCTCTCAAAACTGGGTGACTGGACAACAAAGTGGCAGATGAAATTCAATGTTGATGAATGCAAAGTAATGCACATTGGAAAACATAATCCCAACTATACATATACAATTATGGGGTCTAAATTACCTGTTGCCACTCAAGAAAGAGATCTTGGAGTCATTGTGGATAGTTCTCTGAAAACATCCACTCAATGTGGAGCGGCAGTCAAAAAAGCAAACAGAATGTTGGGAATCATTAAGAAAGGGATAGATAATAAGACAGAAAATATCTTATTGCTTCTATATAAATCTATGGTACACCCACATCTTGAACACTGCGTGAAGATGTGGTCGCCCCATCTCAAAAAAGATAGATTGGAATTGGAAAAGGTTCAGAAAAGGGCAACAAAAATGATGAGCGGTATGGAACAACTGCCATATGAGGAGAGATTAATAAAACTGGGACTCTTCAGCTTGCAAAAGAGATGACTAAGGGGGGATATGATAGAGGTCTGTAAAATCATGACTGGTGTGGAGAAAGTAAAGAAGGAAGTGTTATTTACTCCTTCTCATAACACAAGAACTAGGGGTCACCAAATGAAATTAATAGGCAGCGGGTTTAAAGCAAACAAAAGGAATTATTTTTCAACACAATGCACAGCCAACCTGCAGAACTCCTTCTCAGAGGATGTTGTGAAGGCCAAGACTATAACATGGTTCAAAAAAGAACTAAATAAATTCATGGAGGATAGGTCCATCAATGGCTATTAGCCAGGATGGGCAGGGATGGTGTCCCTAGCCTCTGTTTGCCAGAAGCCGGGCATGGGCGAAAGGGGATGGATCACTTGATGCTTACCTGTTCTGTTCTTTCCCTCTGGCGTACCTGACATTGGCCACTGGGGGAAGACAGGATGACTGGGCTAGATGGACCTTTGGTCTGACCCAGTATGGCTGTTCTTATTTGAACGTAATCTTTATACATTGATATTTATCTTATTTATCTTGATATAATTATTTTGTATGTATTTTGGCGCAAAGACTTTCATATTGTTCATTAGCTCTACCTGGTCCCCAGGGAGAGAGGTATGGTTCAGTCTAGTACCAAGGGTTCAGTCCTGCAAGTGATGAGTGGGATTACTGGTGTATGGCAGTGCAGATTATAGGATAGGCTTTGAATATTGTATAATATCTGGGGAAGCAGGCAGAGGTAAAGGACTATATCCTTTGTGGCAAAGATGTAAAACCTCTAAATTGTAACTTCCATGAAGAAATATGGGTTATTTAGCTGTGTTTAAATAAAAAAAGTCTTATATTTGTAAACAGTCCTCCCACATCTGAATAATTCACATAAAAACCAAATATGGCACTTACATACTGTGACATGTTGCACAAGACAATTTTAATTTAGATTTGTGTCCTTTTAATTTAGTCATAAGAAGTCCAATTTTGCATTGCTTGTGCATCCCAAATTCTCTGCAACGTCAAGGAGAGTTTCTGATGTCCAAGCAAAGGAGGAGCCAGCTCTCTGCAGGCAAGATTGGCAGGCTTCTTAACATATGTTTAATTTTAGATAACCTTTATCAGTAAGTGCAGAAAGAAAATGTGGCTGGATGAAGGTGTGGCCTAGCCTAGCAGACCCTGCATTTCAATTATCAAAGCCTGAGGCTAGGTCTACACTACGGGGGGAGGGGAGGGGGTCGACCTAAGATACGCAACTTCAGCTACGTGAATAGCGTAGCTGAAGTTGCGTATTTAGGTCAACTTACCTGGCTGTGAGGACGGCGGCGAGTCGACCGCTGCCGCTCCGCCGTCGACTCCGCTTCCATCTCTTGCTGCGGTGGATTTCCGGAGTCGACGGCAGAGCGATCAGGGATCGATTTTATCGCATCTTCACTAGACGCGATAAGTCGATCCCCAATAGACGTGCCCTGAGAGAGGATTTAATTCACCTAGTTCATCTCCTTTTGGGATTTATTTTAAATATCTCCCATGTTTGCAGGTAGGCCTGTGAGAGCTAGATACTAGTGAGAAGTTTTAGAGCTGCAAAACACAAGTCCCGATGTCCAACATCCTCCCTCCATAAAAGTTTGAGTGCTTTTCGTTTTTGGATTCCACCCAACCCCAGAGACAGCCCCAACCATGAAATCTGAATCTGGCTTTTGACCCCTCTCCCCTTCCACTTCCTACAACGTCTGTGATTCAAGAGATCCTCTCTCTTTTCAACAGGTATGGAGACAAAAGGAAAGGTGTTTCCCATACCATGCTAACCTGAAAGAGGCCAACCCCTGCCAATTCACTTTGTGGAGGCAAGAAACTTATACCTAGCAGAGTCATCTGAATCTGGAAGGATTAGAAAGATAATATATTTTATTGGACGAATAAAAGATATTGCCTCACCCACGTTGTCTCTTAGTAGTATCCTGGGTCCCACATGGCTATAACTACACTGCATACCATCCAGGGAGGACGTCAGTTTCTTTGCAGGTCCAGAAAAGAGCTCCCTGCTGCCGCTTTTGCCAGACAGCAAAGTAAAAAACCGGTTTTGGCACCTATTGCGTTGAGTCATTGCGCTCTCTCTCTCTCTGCACCAGTTTCTGGCTCAGATCTACACTCTGACAACCTTCCTGCCCTCTCACTGCAACCCCCCCTCCCCCCGTGCCCGTTAGCAGCCTAACGTGCCGGGTGCACTCCCACGCTATTTTCCGCAGCTCGGGGACAGCCTCTCCTCATCTGCACCGCACCCCACCCGCTAGTCTCCCGTGACCTAAGGCGTGGCATGCCCTGGCAGGCACGCACTGTCCCTTCTCCCACCCAGCGGCCTGGGTGGAGGTTGGCCCCTTCGTCTCATTGGCTGCCTGGGGCCAGCTCTCCCTGCGGATTGGCTGCCTGCCTCTGGTAGGTAGGATTCTTGGAGAGGGGACAACTACATCCCTTTTTTGGCTGCGGGGCTCGCGCTGGAATTGCTGTTTGTGCAGCAGATCCTGTGCGCGGGGAGGGCTGTGGCTGCTGCCTGTGGCGCACCCGTGACCCGCTGCTGGCGGGAGTGGAGTTAGTGGCTTGTTGGAAAGAAAGTTAGAAGTGTGTGTGTGTGTGTGTGTGTGTGTGTGTGTGTGTGTGTCGGTGGGTGGGAAACCCGTGGGGAAAGTTTGCACCTTAGTCTCCGGAGCGGCAGCAGCGGATCATGCAGCGGGGGAGACTCACCCTCCTAGTGTCTCTGGCTTTTCTTCTGCTCCACGTGAGAGGTAAGAAGGTGGAGCAGACGCTGGGGGAAGAGGGTCGCTGCAGTGCAACTCGCCCTTCTTTCCCTTTGCTCCGACGGGGATCTGTGGCGGGGGGTTTCCTGTGGGGCTGCGCTCCCCTACGCAGCCCTCCCTCCCTCTTGCCACCTGGGGCTGGGTGCTGGGAGCTGTGGCCCGCTGCCAGCATAGACTGAACAAAGGAGCGGCTGTATTGGGGGCGGGCAGGAGGATGGTGGGGCGCCCAGACGGGAGATCCGCATGGCTATGTGGCTCTCAGGGCGGGGTTGTAGCGCAGACGGGGCAGTGCCCGGAGCTCCCCTTTGTCCATACAGCGGTACGCGCCCAGGGGGGTGGCCTGTGCCGGGACCCCTCTCGCTGTCTGCACGGGCTGGCCGCCGCAAGGCGAGAGCGAACAAAGAGCGGAGCTGCGGGGTGAGCCCCAGGCGTGGGTGTGCGCCCCGGGTCCTTAAATGGCTGGTCCACCACCCCCGACCGCAGCTCTGCCTCCCTAGGTGGGATGAGCCTGGTGGTCTGCCTCTGCTCCCCCAGTGACAGCCACCCGAGAAGCCCTCGGAGGAGGCAGCCGGATTGGAAAAACTTCCTTTTCTGCGATCGGGGGGTGCCACGTTTTAGTTGGCGACTCTTTTTTATTTTATTTTTTTGCGGTGGAATTTAATCCCTGGGAAAACTGGATTTGCAGTGATGGCGGGGAAATCGCCTTAACTGTGGGCACTAAATGTGGCGCTACTGGAAATGAGGCAGGGGGTGATGGGGGAGGATTCACCACAGGGCTGGGACATGGAAATAAGCCAGGTTTATTACGTTGGACCGGTTGGCTTGCTCATTGTCTGGTTTGGGAGAACGGAAAGGATCTGGGAGTTGTCTCTTTATGTATTGCTAGCCTGGGGAGGAGAAATGCTACATACTTGTAAGGCTGGGGAATCCTTAGCTGCCTTCCTGCCCCACCCCAACAGCGTGGAGTATCTAGCTGACGTCTTTCAGGGGAGGTAGGATGCCTGAAGTGCACATCATTCTCCCACTAGATCTGCACAGAGTGGTCCTCTTCACATTTGCCCGTTGAACCATAGATAGAGCAGGGGTACTGTGGTCACTTACAGAGGAGGTGATGTTGTCCTTTTAAAAAAACTAGTACAGTATGAAAATGTTTATTTTTTCACCTCTCACTTTATATATTGTATGTACCAAATTAGTTTCTGTGTTTTCATTAGTTTGTGCGTAGAAGGAGGGGGCTTTTCTTGAATGCCACCGGGAGTTTTGGCACAGTCAGAGCTCTAAAACAGCTTCCATTTTAGGAAAGAAAGAGGAGTTACTTTTAGTCGGAGCAACAGTTATCCACTTGCAAGTTAGCTTTGAGTTATCAGCACAATAACTATACTATGGGAAACTTCAAGGTAAACAAACAAAAACTTTGCTGACAATTTCCCTTTGATTTTAATATTCTTATGAGCAGACTTTTTTTAGCCTTGAAACTTTTGCCCACTTTTTTTGCACAGAATATTTATTTAAAAACAATAGGTTGAATGTTAGGATTCTGATGCATTATTTGGAGAAATGCAGCTACAGTAGCTAAAACTACTTTATCCAATAAGAACTTATGTAAACTCTGTTGGCTAAGGTCTGATGTGATACAAGGATATGTGATACAAATTGTCACTTACTTCGCACAATTTGTCACTTAATTACTTCTTGCAAGGATGGTATTATTTTTGCCACACCAAAGAAGGCTAGTTGATGCTACATAGTCATATATTTTTCCTGTCAAATATTTAGCAAAACTGTTAGTTTAAAATCACTTGTTGCCTCAGAGCTCCAGAGGACATGCCGTAGAGCAGGGGTGGCCAACCTGTGGCTCTGGAGCCACATGCGGCTCTTGAGAAGTTTAATATGCGGCTCCTTGTATAGGCACTGACTCCGGGGCTGGAGCTATAGGCGCCAACTTTCCAATGTGCCGGGGGGGGGGGTGCTCACTGCTCAATCCCTGGCTCTGCCACAGGCCCTGCCCCCACTCCACCCCTTCCCGCCCCCTCCTCTGAGCCTGCAGTGCCCTCACTTCTCCCCCCTCCCCCCAGAGCCTTGCCACAAAACAGCTGATTGGGAGGGAGGGGGAGGCGCTGATTGGCAGGGCTGCCGGTGGGTTGGAGGCGTTGGGAGCGGGGGTGGGGGAGCTAGTGTGGGGCTGCTGACCTATTGGCAATGTACATTGGTAAATTCTGGCTCCTTCTCAGGCTCAAGTTGGCCACCCGTGTCATAGAGGGAGAGGAGGATGTTAAGTGTTTGACAAATCTTTGCAAGGAGGTAAATTGTTCTGACATGATCAGTAACATTAACTCAGCTTGTTGTGTCCAGGGTTACAGTTCATAATGTGAATGCATTATCCCAACCAAATGAAAAAAGACACAAATAGGATCCTATTTTTTTCAAACAATACTTGTATGCATTCATGCATGGTATGAAGAAAGCTTCAGTTTTAACCAGTGTGAAGCTACTTTAAATAAAGCAATTTACATCAATTATCTAAATCACTTGATTTTAAATATCATCAGTCTAAATCAGGTGGAGGTTTTGCAAAACTAATTTGAAAACTTGTGCTCTTACAACATTAGACTAAAAATATATCCTAAATTTTGAAATGGTTTTTAAAATGCCACTGTCTGTAAGGTATCTTATTTGAATTTTCACTACTTTGTCAGTAGCAGTTCTGTAAATGTAAGGCTCTGATACTGCAAACACTTAAGCAGTTGTGTAACTTTACTCACATGAACAGTCCCATTAACTTCAGTGGGGATTGCTCCTGTTCTTAAAGTTAAGCATGAGAGTTTGCAGCATCGGGGCTAGCACTGTATTTTTTTTTATTCAACGTCGCTCTAAATGGCATAAAATCTTTGTCATTCCAAAACAAAATTGCTTTAGTGTTAACAATGTTATAAACACAGGCCAAATTTGTTTTAAAATAAGAGCCTAAAGTTAAGCTCGCATTTAGACACATGCAGGTGAGATTCCAAAGTGTGGAACTTCATAGCAGAAAAAAATCTCTAGTAGAGATTAGTAGCTGAAATTTTACTAACAATTAGAAGATTAAAGAAATAAATACAAAACAACCACCTCATTACTTTAAGACTATAAAATAGAAATAATGTAAAGAACTAGAAATTGATGAATAAAAATTGTGATTTTAACCACCCTGGCCTCAACCAGGGCCGGCTCTGGCTTTTTTGCCGCCCCAGGCAAAAAAGCCTCCGGCCGCAGCCCCGGGGCGAGGGCAGCGAGGGGAGGGCGGCCGGAGCCCTGGGAGGAGGGCGGCGAGCCCCGGCAGGGGCTCGGCTCTCCCCCCGGCGGGGGCTCGGCTCTCCCCCCGGCGGCCAGAGCACCGGGGGCAGGGCGGTGAGCCCCGGCGGGGGCTCGGCTCTCCCCCCGGCAGCCAGAGCGCCGGGGGCAGGGCGGCGAGCCCCGGCGGGGGCTCGGCGCCCCCCCCGGCCCCCGGCGGCCAGAGCGCCGGGGGCAGGGCGGCGAGCCCCAGCTGGGGCTCGGCTCTCCCCCTGGCGGCCAGAGCGCAGGGCGGCGAGCCCCAACAGGGGCTCGCCGCTCTCCCCCCGGCGGCCGGGGGGAGGGCGACCAGAGCGCCGGGGGGAGGGCGGCGAGCCCGGCTGTGGCCCCGCTCTCCCCGGCGGCCGGAGCGCCGCGCCGCCCCCCTCCAGGTGCCGCCCCAAGCACCAGCTTGGGTGCCTGGAGCCGGCCCTGGCCTCAACTGTACACTTCTTTAGTTGGTTTAAATTCAGACTGAAAAAAATGGTCAAAATACAGTTAAATTATGCATTTTAATGTTGAGAGCATGTGGATCAAATTCCCCCATGCATCATTCTGAAAATGTAATTCCATGTTAAATGAGCAGTTAATGATTGCATTTCCTTTGGGTACTATTGCTATTCGCCAATTTCTGGTGGGGGGTATCATTTTATAGAGCCACACATACTGTACTATGAAGCTGAAAATGTGCAGCAGGCTATTCTTTACCACTGTCACTGAAAAGAGTTCAGTTCTGTGACTCAGACTCTGAAGGCTTTTACTTTTTACACTGATCATTTACATAAAAGGACAACTGTGCATGCTAAATCAAAATGACTTCATTGCAGCAGTGCAGAAGTTCTTTGAAGTCATGACAGTGTAGCTTGGCAACTGTTGAACACTCCTCAGCTCTACACTGCACAGCCAGAAACAATTTCTAGATATTAATGTTTGCTGTTACTACATTGGCATGTCACATGGGGTGGCAGCTATACTTAAAATGTTTGTCCTTGTTTGACTCTTGTTACTGTGATCCACGTACTGGGGAAGGCATTATTTGTTTGGAGGATACAGTTTAGTACAAAGCTACTGTAATTGCCATCTCCTTTATTCATTCAGTATTGCAAGAAGATGAAAGTGCACCCAGAAATCTACCAGCCAGAGACCAATAGGACAAGAGTGTGTAAAGCGTATCAGGGGAGGGAGGAGGAGGGCAAGTCACCAGGGAGTTCCAGGGGCCAGGGTTCATCTTCAGCTGGTAGAAAAGGGGAGGGTACATGGGTTTGTACCTGGTTGCATTTACTTTTTCCTTAGAATGTGGGAGAGGGGAACAACACTTCATCTTCCATATGAATCTCTGACTAGTGTTTGATAAATTTGAAATCCCAGGGCTACTTGTTGGGAAAGGAGCAAGTGGTAGCAGCAGCAGCATTGAAGTGCTCTGTCTGCAGACTCAGACAGCACCACAACAGTTAACATTTGGAAGGTTCTTTGCAATCATAAGGAGACTGCTAATGAAAGCAGAAATTATGTAAAAGCTGGTACATTGACACTTCTCAAATATCCAGTCTTAATTCCCTTCCCCTAAGTAGGTTTCTATCATCAATATACAAAATGTCAAATGGACACTTATAAAGAAACATCTTTAGCTGTACTTGTTAAAAGGCAAAAGTCATTAGTAACTCAACTGGTAATTCACT